CCGGGAACACCCCACAAGAACTGCAGTTTTGGAGATGCTCTGACCCAGTCGTCTAGCCATCACAACGTGGCCCTTGTCAAAGTCGCTCAAATCCTCACGCTGTCTATTTCTCCTGCTTCTAACACATCAACTTGAGGACATTATGTTCACTTGCTGCCTGATATATTCCACCCTCTGACAGGTTCCATGATAACCAGATAATCAGTGTTATTCACTTCACCTGTCAGTGGTCATAATGTTATGGCAGATCAGTGTATATACAGAAACATGACTGCAACTGAAAGCTAATGTTGCTCCATAACTGGTAGATGTGTAAACAGGCAACTATTTGCTAACATTCAGGGTTGGGAGGGTTACATTAAAAATGTAATGCGATACAATTACTAATTACTAGTTTAATTTAATCAGTAACCTAATCCAGGTATCATAATATTAAAGTAACTCCATTACTTTTGTATTACCTCAAAATAAAGGCAAGAGAAATATCAATAAGATGACGTCTATTCAGTGAAATGTAACCTTAGAAAAGAAAATGGACACAACAAGACAACAAAACAAGATTTTTAGCATAAAGAAATGTGTCCTCTGCTTGTTTTTCATTGAACACATTCAGGAAGTGGCCTATAGACCATTTTCACAGCTTGAAAGCATAACTAGCACTGTAGTGTGATGTTTCTGCTTTAAAGGTCCAGTTTAGGAGGATCAACTGGCAGAAATGAGAAATGTAATATAATATTCATAGGTAGGTTTTCATTAATATATATATATATATATATATATATATAATAAAGCGAGAGATTTGCAATCTGCAACTACTACTAACTAACTACTGCTAAATGCCACAAAATCCTACACACTGGACCTTGAAAGACAATAATAATGGCAAACATTTTCACCCAGTGAAAGCATTTATTCTCTACAGGCCATGATAATGAAATTGTAATTGTAAAATTAGCTGTAGTTTCACTTGAGACCGGAGTGGTGTTGTGAGACTCATGTTGTAACTGCGCATGTGCATGGTAGTATATTGTTCTTTATTTTCAAATGTGGGTGTTTAAACTTGTATTCCTGCTAATAATCCCCAGTTTTACTAAATGGAACTGTAATCTGATTATGTCTTTTTTTCTGTGACAGTAAACTAATGGATTACAGTTAGCTTTGTTACAGCTGTAAGTGTTTCCCTGTTCTGTCTGTCCCTTTTCCTGCTCTGCTCCCGCTTGCTCTGCGCAGGTGTGCTGATTGCTAAATGAGGCGCACCTGACCTGTAAATGAAGAGTTTAAAAGCTCCTGTGCCAGCACCAGAAGAGAGCAGCTTTTGGAGTCAGGACTGCTGGTGTTCCTGCCTCCCAGCGTGGGATTTTGTGTCGCTTTGTGTCTTTTGATTGTCTTAATTTAGTTAATAAATTCTGTGAATTTGGTTCTTTCTTTCTGTGGTTGTTTTGGGACAGTGATGGAGTGCTGTTCTTGTATCCTGATTAAGTAACTACATGTAAACAGTTACTCCCTAATCCTGCTAACATGTTAGTTGTTTTGTTTTATATTGCAGTTACTTACGAAAAGCATGATTTTGGTTCCCCTCAAATCATCTTATTCCACGCTCTCTGATACCATTATATATACAGTATATTATGTAGTGGCTTGTTCCAACTCTTCACTGAAGCTCTTCAACAGTTACACTAATTCATATTAAAACCTGAGACACACCATACCATCAAAACACATATTCTAAATGTTTATTGCATACTTTTAGACCCATTTTCTCAAAAGTCAACATATTAAACATATTTGGCAGCTCTGGAAGTTCTTCAGGTTTTAACAATGTTTGGCTGCAGTGCATTAGTTTGTACCGACTGCCCCACCCTGGGTCAGTAAGGTTTAAAGTTGTCTTGTTTTCTTGTCAACAAAAAGACCAAAAACTAAAAATGTGTTTTTTACTTCTCCAGTTTGTCTGTGGTTCCTACTGAAGGCATAAATTAAAGTATAGTTTTATAAAACAGCTGGACACTAGGGCTTAGTAAACATTACTCAAACAGAGGTAAACTGCATTTGTTGGGGACTATTTTCAGCTGATTCTCTGCTGCTCTAGTAAACAAGATTCTCCCAGCACAACAATGTGGCTCATTGATTTGTTTCAAACATTTTTTGGACAAGAATGCTGGTCTATGTCACAGAGGAATACGGTACTCCAGGCTTTGGCTACACAAACAATATTTATTAGTAGGATCAGCTCATTGTTGGTTTTGGCCTCATCAGGGATTTGTTGAAACACCACCTGACTCATCCTTGAGAAAGGTGACTTTACTTACTCACTGATGGATGTTTATTGGACGTTTCAGGTCAACATATGCACCAAGGTTGTCAGCCCTCACATGCAAATGAGAAGCATGTAAGTGAAACTGTGGTTTAAGCCACTGTCTTGGTAATCCCTAATCAGTGTGTTGGACTAATTGAGGTGCTGTCGGTCAGTGGTGCAGTAGGCCTCCGTTGAGATTAACGCTCCCCTGCTCGTCCACCCTCTACACTCTGTCTTACAACTGCCTGAACACGTCTCCTTGAATGAAAAGTTATCCCTTAGAAAAAGGAGGAATGAGTGCTTACAGCCATGCCTGCGTGCAAATGTAATGTGGCCGGTGCGCTCATCCCCTCACAGCCTCTGTCTTTCATTCTCTTTCACACACACACACACACACACACACACCACACACACACACACACGCACAAACACACAAACGATGGCTGATTTGTCTGAGTCAGGCCTCTGGCTCACTTGATTTTCCCCGATCGATTACTTTGAAGACAGACACTCATCCCATATCCCTTGTACAAAAATGCCATGCCATTCCTGTTGATGTCATGCAAA